GGAGGGCGGAGGTGGGAGGAGGTTGAGGTTGGAGCGGGGGGTGCGGTGGAACTGTCAGCCTCTGCCACGTGGGCCCCAGCGGGCCGAGCGAGGAGCGAGCGTTGTGTGAAATTTAAGTGGCACGGAATCCCGCGCCGGCTCCTTTGCGCGATCCCAATTTTCCGCTGCATCGCTGATTGGAATTGGGGGACGATTTTGCAGCAACTGTTGCCGGCGCGGTGCCGCCATGACCCCTCCCCGCGGGACTCGGCACGGCGCGTGCTTCGTTTTTAACGTCAGAATGTCGACACGTCAAAAAGTTTAAGTTGTCCTGCTTCCTGCTCTGACGGAGCGCCGGGCGGCGATCGTCTCCGTTGGGGGTTCCGAGCTGCCAGCCGAGACGAGCCCGCCACACGCGCTGGCTCGCAAGCGTGTCACATCACCGGTGGGGAGACAAAGGTGGCCGTGCGCGGTTCCGGCCACACCACCGCTTCGTGCGCCGTGCCGACCTTAATAGGTGCTCGCGAACAGCCCTTGCCCCAACAGCCAGTTAGAGGCTACACGGGGGATCTTTCTGCCTTTTGTACAATTGTGCTCATGCATGCGTGTGCTCATGCACGCGTGCGTTCATGCACGCGTGTGCGTGTGATGACACGCGTGTAGGCAAACCGCTAATCCGAGCGCGGGGGGTCAGAGAAAGGGCAAAATCGCGGCGCCACACGGATAAATGCGCACGAAAAAAGAAATCATCATTTAACAACAACAAAAGCATCCGAAAATAAACCGCAAATAAAATCTACCGAGAGAGCAATTTTTTCATTCACGGCGCACCGAGCGAGCAGTCGCGCCACGCCGATGTTCACGGTACCGCTCCTCCGAGCGGCCCGCGGCACGGGGGCACCGTCCCAGCATCTGCTCGGCCTGAGCCGAGAAAAATCGGCGCTGCTCAGGGGCCTGCGAGGCCGCTGCCCTCCGTCGCCGTGCCGAGTTCCCGCTCGCTGACCCCGCGCTGACCCCACACCAGCCCGGCGAGCACACGCAGCAGCAGCAGCAGCAGCGGCGTCTTTGCGTCTTTGCGACTTTGCGTCTTTGCGACTTTGCGTCTTGCCGACGATTTCCAAGCGACGCGCGTTTGTGTGCATCATGCGCATTCCGCGCAAACGCACGCAGGCATGACAGCGTACACAGAGACAAAGGTCTCCCATATAGCCATTAACAGGCTTTTGGGGCAAGTGCTGTTAGCAAGTAGCTTCTATGAAGGCTGGCACGGGATTCAAGGGGGTGGGTGGCCAGCACCATTCCTGGCCGCCTTTATCTCCTCGGTGCTGATATTTTTAACACGCTGCACCAGGTACTCGTGAAATGCTGAGTCAACCTCGGGGAGGCCCGGGACTGGTTTAGATAATCGTCACTGTTGTTGGCCGTGAGCGGGAATCAAACTCGGGTCGTCGAGTACGTAGCGCAGCGTGCTAACCACTGCACTACTGCTCCCCACACAAAGACACACATACAGAAACATACATACGTGAACAACCAAAGACAGATATAAACGTACAAAGAGACATGAACACAAAAAACGACAGTCGACCTTCACCACTAAATGATGGTGAAGCCACCACAGCTTGTGCCAGGAGATGTGAATATTGAGGCCGTAACGTGAAGTATGGAAGGCTCGCTGCCGGCAGGAGGTCACGGGGCACACCTAGGTGCTGTGGGTTAACTGGCTGAGATGGCCAGTGGCAGCTGCACCACATGTGCTGCACACCGTGCCAACTTGCACACAAAACACAGATGCACATACACAAACACAGTCATACAAACAGCACAGACGCACGCCAACAAAGATACACAAACACACACACATACGCAATGAGGTACATGCACAAACACAGACACAGGCATAGATGCATAGCCGCAGACACAAAGAGAAACACACACACACACACAGGTCTGACTTCTGTGCGAGTGTGTGTTTTAAATGAAGGCCTACAAGAATAGCCACCATCCATCCATCCTATCCATTCATCCATCCACCCATCCGATCCATCCACCCGGCAAGCTAATGATGCGCATCGCTCCGCCGTGGTGCCGGTGTGTGGGAGGTGGTGGTGGCCTTCACTCGACAGCGCCGCTGCCAAAGGAAATAACGAGTGAATGCCGCTCCGCTGAGCCTCCGCCTCGATTCGAAGTGAAAATGAATTATAACCCATGCCCTGGTGAACACCCGTGCAGATAATCGTCACTGCTGCTGGCCGTGAGAGGGGATCGGTTCGTCAGGTTTGTAGCGCAGCGCGCTAACCGTTGCCCTGCCGCTCCCCGCATGCACATAACACAGCCACAAACACATGCCCACTCCACTGAGACAAAGATTCCACATACAGTAGAACCTCGGAGATCGAACTCACCAGAACTCGAACAAATCGGCGTTCGATATTTCCGAACATTTTTTGCCCCGGAAACCGGACGAAATTCGGAGGTCGAACGGCAATTGCGACTTTAAAGAACCTGTATGGCTGAGACGCGTATGGCCAGCAGCGTGCATGACGCTTGCCCAGACAAAGGTTTTAACGTATGAGAGGCTCGGTTAACACGTAGCTCTCACCCAGTGCAGAGCCACAAAACATCGTTCTTTAACTTTTTCGTTAATGCCCTTTGTTTTAGTGCTTTTTGGTGTTTATCCATACACAATGTCTCCTAAGAAGGTTAGTGGTAGTGATAAGCCAAAATGTAAAGTTGTGAGAACCACGATATAATTAATGAGAGATTTATTGCGTCTGGAACCAATTAATGTCATTTACATTTATTCTTATGGAGAAAATTAATTCGGTGTTCGAACAAATCGGTGTTCGAATGGCCTTCTGGAACGAATTAAGTTCGATCTCTGGGGCACCACTGTATAGCATGAACAGACTGTTGGGGCAACTGCTGTTAGCGAGCACCTATGAAGGCCACGAAGACACACACAGTGTGACGCACACAGCGAGACACGCACACGCCTACCCCACACCACTGAGACACGCGCGTACACAGCGCCAGCCGGTGCCACCCTCCCTGCCGCATCTGCGGCCTAATCTCAGAGACGCCAATTGGCACTCAAACAGCGGGGAGAGCGTGGCTGCCGAGTTAGGCGCTTGCCTGGCAGGACATTAATTTTGATGCCGCTCCTCGGAGACGGTGGAGGAGTAAGCAAAGGTTCGTCGGCATTACTCGCGGCCGCGTCACCATAACACTCGTCAGTAGCCGTGATCGATCCACTGCTGCGTGAAAGCTGATGGCGGCGGGAACAGATTCCACAAAGAGCGCCACTTTGCATGGCAGCCCTGGCACAGAAGGCGACGCAGTACAGCAAGTAGGCCACAGGCCTCCCTGTGTGTGGAAATTTAAGCGTAGGTGTCTGGGCTTATGTTGGATGGGGGCTCTATCGTGGAATCGTGGGTGACGTTGGGATTCATTGCCCAATGGGTGTGTTTGTCGGAAACATATCGTGGATATCACTGTACAATAGTTATCACTGGGTATCATTGTGCGGTAGATATCACTTTAAGGATTGGGTCTCAGCGTATCACAAACATCACTGTGAGTATCACTGTAGATTGGGTATCGTTTCACATGGGGTGTTATTGCACGACGGGTATCGATGTAGCGCCGCCTATCACTGCCGCGACCCTTGCCACTGCCACTCTCCCCGCCAGGGAGAGCGCCCCCCCGCCCCCCCCACCGAGAGCTCTGGCTTGAGTCTCTCCGCCTCCCCCCACCCTCTCACCCCGCTCCCCCAGCGCTCCACAGATCGGGCGCCAACGCGGCGTTGCGGCCGCGTTGGCGCTCGCGTGCCGCGTTACGCAAGCAGACGAGAGCGATGGTGACAGTTTAATCACAGCCGGCTCGGGGAAGGAATTAGCGAGCGAAATTACAGCGAGGAGATGTCGGGCAGAGGCGCGCTGCCTCCGTCGCTATATTGAGTCGAGGCAACCCCAGCCACCACCACCACCACAACCGCCCCTCCCCCGCCCCTGCACATAGCCAGACACCCTCACCGCCGCCCTCGCCACCACCGCCACCACGACCGGCGTTGCCATTATTTTCGAGGGACACGACTCACCTCGGTCGTGACGATGCATCGAGTCCCTGTCTGTGTGTGCATGAGAAGCACGGCGTGCATGCCCCCTCCCCCTGGCTGCTTCCACACAACCCCCCCCCCCCGTTCCACACAGAATGAGTGGTAGTTTCCACCATTGTCGTGTGACACTGTTCCGTGTGTCACTACTCTGTGTGTCACATCTCCGTGTGTCACTACTACGTGTGTCACTACTCCGTGTGTCACTACTCTGTGTGTCACTACTACGTGTGTCACTACTCCGTGTGTCACTACTACGTGTGTCACTACTACGTGTGTCACATCTCCGTGTGTCACTACTCCGTGTGTCACTACTACGTGTGTCACTACTCCGTGTGTCACTGTTCCGTGTGTCACTACTCCGTGTGTCACTACTACGTGTGTCACTACTACGTGTGTCACTACTCCGTGTGTCACTACTACGTGTGTCACTACTCCGTGTGTCACTACTCTGTGTGTCACATCTCCGTGTGTCACTACTACGTGTGTCACTACTACGTGTGTCACTACTCCGTGTGTCACTGTTCCGTGTGTCACTACTCCGTGTGTCACTACTACGTGTGTCACTACTACGTGTGTCACTACTCCGTGTGTCACTACTACGTGTGTCACTACTCCGTGTGTCACTACTCCGTGTGTCACTGTTCCGTGTGTCACTACTCCGTGTGTCACTGCTACGTGTGTCACTACTCCGTGTGTCACTACTACGTGTGTCACTACTACGTGTGTCACTACTACGTGTGTCACATCTCCGTGTGTCACTACTACGTGTGCCACTACTACGTGTGTCACTACTACGTGTGTCACTACTACGTGTGTCACTACTACGTGTGTCACTACTACGTGTGTCACTACTCCGTGTGTCACTACTCCGTGTGCCACTGTGACTGCCGCCGGCGAGGCTCACTTGAGGGAGAGGGAGAAGTCGTTCTTGCTCGTCTCGCTGTTCCGCAGCAGGTAGCTCGACTCCCGGCACAGCCGCAGCAGGGCCTCGGCGTCCGACCGCCCGATCGCGCCGTGGTACCAGCTGCGTCGCCAGCGGGGGGTCGCCAGCGAAGGGGGTTGCCCAAATGGAACACACGGTGAGGGGGGGGAGGAAGTATGACATGGGATTTTGAAGATGACAAACGCGGGATGTGACCGATCTCAACAGAGCCCCCCCCCCCCCCATCACTGCCCTCTGCCCCCCCCTCCGCCCCAACTCGCCCTGACCAGCGCGGTGATGTGCGGTCAAATAAACCCAGCAATCCGCGCGGCGTGCAGAGCAGAGAGTGGACAGGAGGTTCATATATGACACCGCGAGAGGCCATTCAGCTTGTAAGTCTCTCTCTCTTGCAAGCGTGACCTGGAATACAAAACCAACCGCACTAAGTAGAAGAGGGATACGTGTTTATATCATTAGAAATGAACTTTGAAATCCCTGGCCTGGCTGCCCCAACCCTTCTTCCCTAACCTAGGTCTTGTTGTTGTCTAAGTTCCTCGAGATGCGACTGCTACGTGCGTAGACGCCACGTACATTTGAAAACAGGAGAACCCAAAACCCTTCGTGTTTGCTGCCGGCCGCTCGCCACCGCGGGCCTTGGGGCGCGCTCGGCCGCGGCGATTTCTGGCGGTGGCGCGACTCACGCTTGTCGCTCGAGCGGCACGGCGGGGTCCACCCTCTCGCCGGAGGAGGAGGAGGAGGAGGACGAGGAGGAGGACGAGGAGGACGAGGAGCCGTGCTCGGGGGGGCTGTGTCGTCGCGAGGCCTTCTTCCCACCGCTGGGGTTGCGCGGCCGCTCCTCGGGGCCCTGGGGCGGCCGCCCGCGGTCCGCGCCGGTGGCCGGTGGCGACCGCGTCTTGTCCACGCCGTCAAACTGGACTGCAGGAGCGGAGGCGGTGGGGCGGTTAGCGGTCAAAGTGAACAAAGAAGCGTCCGCAATAACTCGCTCACCTCCACGTGGGTGGCTCACGCATGCTCAATAATAATAATAGTGATTATAAATAATAAGAACGTCCTTAAATAATATTGCCCTTGATATTTTGTTGAAGCCACTGCTGGACAAGGCCAACGAAGGGATGGGACGGAGGCCTCTTGCCGGCACGGGAAGGTTACCGGCTGCTGCTGCTAACGACACAAACATCATATTGAGATGTTTGGCCAATTCCATGAAAGAGCGGGTGGCTTTGCTTGGGAGGAAACTGGAGAATACGTAGAAAACGATGCACACAAAGGCCTGCACAGAAAGATTCAACAATCCACTGCTGTACTGTGATTGATCCAGCAACTCCTTACACATCCAAATACTAACCAGGGTCAAAACCCGCTTCGCTTCCGAGATCTGATGAGGTCATGGGTGACCAGTGTGACAAGCAACGCCAAACCCGATCTGGCTTTAACCTTATTGGGATTAATCGGTGGCGCGTGACCTCTTTAAAAAATACCACTCGTTTATATATTTTATACAGCCCTTTGTCAATTCACTGCTGGATGAGGACCTCGCCATGCCATGTGGATAGCTTCAGGAAACATGGTTAAGAGCCACCCACAAATGTTACAGGGCCCGAAGATTGCGTTGCAGCAATTCCGTCAGTGGAGTAGAATTCAATTGTGAAAATAGAGGCATTACGTGCGGCTCCGTAGGGATGTGGGTAATAATTTGTGAGGGCAGGGTATAATTTTGTTAAGAGTTGGTGCTCGTTTCGTTTTAATGATGAACCGCAGAGATGAATGTGGATCGACGCGAGGTCGGAGCAATTCAGAGAAAAATCCTGCTTCATCATGACGGAGCGCCACATGGGATGGCGAGAGAGGGAGCGAGAGTGAGCGAGCGAAAGATCGAGAGACCGTGAGAAAGCGAACGAGAGTGAGTGAGAGAATGAACGAGAGTGAGCGAAAGAGTGAGCGAGAGAGTGAGCGAGAGATATAGCAAGTGAGCGAGAGTGTGAGCGAGAGTGTGAGCGAGACTGCGAGAGGATGAGAGAGTGAGTGAGTGAGAGTGAGCGAGAGAGATAGCGAGTGAGGCAGAGTGTGAGCGAGAGAGTGAGCGAGACTGCGAGAGAGCGAGAGAGTGAGCGAGAGCGAGCGAGAGAGCGAGGCAGACAGCGACGTGCGCGATCGCTCCACTCGTGCAGTAAACGTTCGGTGGAACAAGCGGCGGTTTTATCCCCTAATTTTTAACGCTTCGTGGACCCTTTACCAGAAACGGCCATAAAACGCACAAAGCAGCAGCAGCAGCAGAAGCAGCAGCAGCAGGGGAGCAGTTGGCAAGTGAACAGCCCGCTGCAGTTAAGCTGTTCCGAGAGGCGTCGGACACAGACATAAAGACTCACGACCCCCACAGCCCCCCTCCCCGCCCCGGCAGAACGTCCGCGCTGCCTCTACCTGCGATGCGTCTCTCTGACAAAGGCGCAGCGGCTGGACCGGGCCCAACCACTCAGCCGGCCGCTCGCCCGGAATGATGCCAGATCCATCCGGACGCCCACTTATAATCTCCCGCATCAGCCGACGCCAAGATGTAAAATGCGGCAATAAATCTCTGCTCGTGCGGTGTGGGGAGTGGAGGAGGGGGGGGAGATGTTGCTGCGTGTTGGAGAGCTGCCCAAACCCTCACGCCCCCACCCCCTAAACCCCCATTGCACACAACCCCCCCCACCCCACCCAAGATACCACATCTTTCTTGCGCAACAGGGGTGCCAATGCACTGCTGGATAAGGATCCTCGCCGTGCCATGTTGGCCGTGGCAGTTGTTTGACCGGTGTGGTGAAGAATGGTGAAACAAGGGAGGGGCGGGTAAAGGGAGGTCGGGAGGGGGGGGTAACGGATCGGATCTCACGGCAGCCATGCTTGGCTCAGCGAGCGCGCCAGCCGCTGTGCCACCCCTCCACCCACGTGACACACGACAGAGGCTCATGGGCAGCGTGCACGCCGGCACGGATGAGAAGCGGTGGAATTCCTTCATGGCGCAGGACTACAAATTATCTAAATTGTTAAACTTTGGTCATATAACATTTACAGTGAGGAAAAAAAGTATTTGATCCCCTGCTGATTTTGTACGTTTGCCCACTGACAAAGAAATGATCAGTCTATAATTTTAATGGTAGGTTTATTTGGACAGTGAAAGACAGAATAACAACAACAAAATCCAGAAAAACGCATGTCAAAAATGTTATGAATTGATTTGCATTTTTATGAGGGAAATAAGTATTTGACCCCTCTGCAAAACATGACTTAGTACTTGGTGGCAAAACCCTTGTTGGCAATCACAGAGGTCAAACGTTTCTTGTAGTTGGCCACCAGGTTTGCACACATTTCAGGAGGGATTTTGTCCCACTCCTCTTTGCAGATCTCCTCCAAGTCATTAAGTTTTCGAGGCTGACGTTTGGCAACTCGAACCTTCAGCTCCCTCCACAGATTTTCTATGGGATTAAGGTCTGGAGACTGGCTAGGCCACTCGAGGACCTTAATGTCCTTCTTCTTGAGCCATTCCTTTGTTGCCTTGGCCGTGTGTTTTGGGTCATTGCCATGCTGGAATACCCATCCACGACCCATTTTCAATGCCCTGACTGAGGGAAGGAGGTTCTCACCCAAGATTTGACGGTACATGGCCCCGTCCATCGTCCCTTTGATGCGGTGAAGTTGTCCTGTCCCCTTAGCAGAAAAACACCCCTAAAGCATAATGTTTCCACCTCCATGTTTGACGGTGGGGATGGTGTTCTTGGGGTCATAGGCAGCATTCCTCCTCCTCCAAACACGGCGAGTTGAGTTGATGCCAAAGAGCTCCATTTTGGTCTCATCTGACCACAACACTTTCACCCAGCTGTCCTCTGAATCATTCAGATGTTCATTGGCAAACTTCAGATGGGCATGTATATGTGCTTTCTTGAGCAGGGGGACCTTGCGGGTGCTGCATGATTTCAGTCCTTCACGGCGTAGTGTGTTACCAATTGTTTTCTTGGTGACTATGGTCCCAGCTGCCTTGAGATCATTGACAAGATCCTCCCGTGTAGTTCTGGGCTGATTCCTCACCGTTCTCATGATCATTGCAACTCCACGAAGTGAGATCTTGCATGGAGCCCCAGGCCGAGGGAGATTGACAGTTCTTTTGTGTTTCTTCCATTTGCGAATAATCGCACCAACTGTTGTCACCTTCTCACCAAGCTGCTTGGCAATGGTCTTGTAGCCCATTCCAGCCTTGTGTAGGTCTACAATCTTGTCCCTGACATCCTTGGAGAGCTCTATGGTCTTGGCCATGGTGGAGAGTTTGGAATCTGATTGATTGATTGTTTCTGTGGACAGGTGTCTTTTATATAGGTAACAAGCTGAGATTAGGAGCACTCCCTTTAAGAGTGTGCTCCTAATCTCAGCTCGTTACCTGTATAAAAGACACCTGGGAGCCAGAAATCTTTCTGATTGAGAGGGGGTCAAATACTTATTTCCCTCATTAAAATGCAAATCAATTTATAACATTTTGACATGCGTTTTTCTGGATTTTTTATGTTATTCTGTCTCTCACTGTTCAAATAAACCTACCATTAAAATTATAGACTGATCATTTCTTTGTCAGTGGGCAAACGTACAAAATCAGCAGGGGATCAAATACTTTTTTCCCTCACTGTATGGTGCGCGAGGATACTCAATTAAACATTAATGCGCATGAATCACGAGAGATACAGGCTTACGTCGCTCGCACAAACAGCGCCAACACCGACGACCGGAGCCTTCGCGCACTGCGGGACTCCCTCACGGTGCAGAGTGGGGGGCTCGGTGATGCAGAGTGGGGGGCTCGGTGATGCAGAGTGGGGGGGGGGGGGGGGGGGGCTCAGATTCCGCCTAGAGGGAACAACTCGGCAGACAAAGCGAGAGGCGACTTCTGCCCGGCGATGGGCGATGACCACGCCGGTTGGGGTGGGGGCCTCGGCGCACCCCGCCGCCACCCCCACCCCGTGGCGGTGCGACAAGCAGCGCCACTCATTACCCACGCAACCTGTCGCCGCGCGGCTGCACCTGCTACGCAATTTACCCTGGCACGGAGGGGGGCTCGGAGGTGGAAGGAAGGCGGCGGGGGGGGGGGGGAGTTGCTGCACCGGTGAATGGAGTGCGCGAAGATTGCAGCGAATTACCGCAACAACAAACCTCACGGCATCCAATTTCCGCCGGAACAAAATTGGCCGGCGCTTAAGAAATTCAAGGGAACGCGCCGAGCGTTCACCAGGCGGCCGCCAGCGCCGTCGGCGTCGGCGGCGGGAGAAGCGAATTGCGCGGCACAACTCGGGGCGCGGTGGTGAGCCGGGCGGCACCGGTGGGGGGCTCGCTCCGTCCACAACCGGTGCACGCCGCCGCTCGGCTCCGGGGACCGGCGGTATCGACCGTCCCGTTACCTCGCGGCGGTCGTCGGAGCGGCCAAACGAGCCGCGCTCTCTCGCCAAGTTGTAAGAAGTGTCCGAACGGATTCTCCACGGCCGTGCGCGCACAACGGCTGGGTTACCCCGATCTCGCGTGCGTCAACAGTGGCTCTCCCACGGAGAGACTGACCCCCCCCCCTTCCCCCCCCACCATGGGAATGTGAAATTTCCACCGCTGACGCAGGAGCGGTGTGCCCAGTTGACATCAGAATCACAGTGGCTTTAATTGATCATCAGGTGGTGCTCATTTGCCACTTGGGGTCCTGAAACACTGCTGAAAATTCCACATTCCCACGGTCGATTCGGATAAATCCATGGGACGACCACCGTTGACTACAATACGCATACGGAACGTTAATACCGGGCTGCCGAGGAGACGAAGCAATGAAATCATCAGGTGCTCGGTGGATCATTACACCGCAGGATTGGGAGAACTGATGGCGGTTTGGGGGAGGCCTTCATCCAGCTGCGGATCGATCACGGCCGATGCTGATGACGAGCAATGGCCACCGTTCGATGCCATCACTTGCAAAGCATTCTGGGAGGATGGAGCCGGCGGACGAACGTAGAAGGGGCAGGAGTGGCGGTGGGCGGTGCGAGGGCTTGCGAGGTTGACCGGGAGGAGGCGGTGAATGATGAAGAAGCAGAGTGGAGTGGGGATGATGAGGAGGTCGAAAGGGGGCAAGGAAGGGGGGCAATGTTGAGAAACGAAGGGCGGAGAAAGGCACGAGGAGTGGGGCGGGGGTCACCTTGCTTTGTAAAGAGGTCGTCATCTATCTGTCCCACTGGAGGAGGCCAGGGGAGCTCCCGGGGAGCTGTGACATCAACTTGATGGTGAGGTCACGGGGGGGGGGGGGGTGTGGGGGGGATTTAACCGGCACACACGAGGGAGAGGGCAGGAGGAGAGAGGAGAGGCGACGATGAGAATTAGCCATTCCGCCCGGGATGCCGGCGGGGAGGCGTGAGGAGCAGCCACAGGCTGGCCGCGTGGGCAAGCGAGGCGGGGTGGTGGGGGGGGTGGGGGGGCAAGCGGCGCCGCGTCTCGGCCAAACGACGGGGATTTCGGAACGGAAGCGAGAAATGAGGGCGCCATGCAGCGGTGAGGTCAGACGGGCGTAACGCATGCACGGCGCACATGGCATGCCTCGCGCAGCGGGGCGAGCGGCGTGCGAGGATGCGGGGCCCACGGCCTTCGCCCTCCCCCCACCCCCAGGTGCCCAAGCGAGGGTGGTGGGGGGCGGGGGTTGGCGAACGCGGCGCCGGAGGCCGCGTTGCCCTGCGTCTCAATAACATCACGACCGCGCCGCGAGGTCAGAGTGCCGACCGGAGGTCAGAGAGCAAGTGGGGGAAGCGAAGCCACGTGGAGGAGACGGGCCACGTGATTCGCCAACGTCTCGGGCGAGCGACGCGACGGACTCTCGTGACTCACGGTCGCGATTTAATTCTGGAATTCATTGAATTGGAGCAACAGATCAAAAATCGGCCATCTCGTTGGTTTTGGTTCTAGTTGATATCGTTTTGTTTGTACACTCGATTAGTCACATTACCATGTTATTAAATTGCCCGTGCATCGCATAAATTGTACACAAACAATTAATACCCACACATTCGCATGTGTTTCTTGAGTATGAGAATCGGTTATATTCGACGCATTGTTCCCCCGCACCTCTGATCTCCTTCCCACGAACCTCCTATTAGCGCGGTTGGCTTTGTACGGTGCAAAAGAGGCTCAACATACATACACAGTGGTGATGGGATTATTGTGGGATGTGGGATCTGGCATAAGGACGCAGCAGCAATATCCTTGGCCCTGATGACGTCTCGGCTTTGATCTCTGTCACGAGAAACTCCGGATCTAATGAACGCAACGGCATCACCGTGACTCGTGCCAATATTCGGTGAAAAAACACAAAAGCAAAGTTCCACGACGTTCCCCTGATTCCCGGTTCCCTCGCCGTCCCGACCAGCTCTCGCACGGCTCCAATAACAAACGGATCACTCGCACATCTGGGACTCAATGAAAACTGACACAGGATGGGGCAGGTGACCGGCTGGGCCAGACACCGACACTTTAACTGCCCTCCTCCTCCCCCCCTCGCCCGTGTCCAGTTCCCCCGGGAGGCGGCCGTTAACGGCCCCGTCGTAAACGCTGATGGCGCCGCCGCGCTCAGAAACAAAGAGGCCATCGCGCTCACGGGATCGAGTCTCCATAAAGCGCCGCCAACGCGCGCCAGCCTTGACAGGGCAGAGGGGGTTTTTGTTTTTTTCATAGATCGCGGAAGGCTGCGTGGGATAAAATGTCACTTTGAGAATTTTGGTGAGAAAACTGTCGTTTTGAGCTAAATAAAAAAAATACATGGATCGACCCGCGTCCGCCGGGTTTACAGGGTCATCGTGATGGCTTTTCACATTAATACAACAAAAGCTCACAAACCAGATCCATTCACACTGGAGCACGAACCCAACATAGTGGTGTGGCAGCGTGGTCGTTGTGGGCCCCGGTGTAAGGAATGAAGTGGGGGGGGGCTCCCGTTGTCCAATTCCCCAACACCTCAGCCCCTCCGGCTGGTGGTTCCCTGTTGCACACACTCGATCGCTACGCCGCCCGCTGAACCCATGACCTCCAGAGCTAGGAGGTCGTGACCTCAGGAGGCGCACTCCGGGGACCTGTAAATGAGCACCGTGCGCGCTCGCACAATCGCGTAGTTGTTCTGGACGCGCAGAAACGGCCTCTTCCATACGGCAAGGGCCCATGGGGGGTGGTGGAAGTTGTGGGGAGGGAGCGCAAGGAGACCAGGGGTCCGCGTGAACGGCGGCGGCAGTGACGTCGTAATCTCGGTCCCGGTCAGCAAAAATATAAAAAAATCGTTCCGGGCAGCCGTGGGAGAATTAGCACCAATTTGGCCGAGTCTTCCCGATTCTCCTCCACGCTTGGATTACAGCAAACGTTATCGCCACCTCTACACGCGCCGCTATCTCTTCCCCTGATCTCGCGCGGCCTCCTCCTCTTCCTTCTCTCCTCGCTTCACCTTGGCAACGCGGCTCGAGTTGCCTTCCCGTCGCGCCGCCGCCGCCACGGTGAGCGGTGAGCGCTCACCCCGGCGGTGGGCGCCCTCCCGCACTGCGTCGCGGCCTAGCGCAAGCGAGCCAGGGCGCGTTGCCGAGTGCCGGGGACAATTGGTGGGCGCAGCCTTCCTCTCTCGCCGGCATCGCCACCCCCGTGTAAAACGAAACAAATCTAAAACTATAAAGGATTCAACGTTAAACCTACAACTCCATTTTCAGTAGGGCGCACCGTAGGTTTTTATTTTAAGACGTTTTCAGCCAAATAATGACGACTATTTATTCTTATACATGTGGGAGGAAACCGAAGCACCCAAAGAAAACCCACGTGGGCGAGGGTACAACGCTCTATACCCGTACAGATGGAAACAGAGAGCTATTAGTCCACTTGCTGTACTGCCTTCTCCTTGTGAGCCAGGGAATGGCACCTCCTCGACACCCAGCATTAACAAAACAACATTCAATGCATGTTCTCTGATGAATATCAATACAATACAAATTGTTGCCGCTTCAAGGGGGGGGGGTGGCGATCTTCCACATCCCCCCACCCCCAACCGCCGCCCTTGGATCCGTCGCTGCTCCCCGGCGAATTAGAGGGCCATTGTTCAAGGTGATGTTGTTGAAGCAGGAGGCGAGAACTGAAGGGACGACGGGCGGAGTCTCATTCGCAAAGAGTTACCTGGCTCAGCGATATTACCAAACCTGTTCACGTAAACCCAAAAAAAAATCTATTGTCGATGTGGCGACGGAAAAAAACGGGGAGAAGGTATTTGTTTGCCAAAAAAACAAGATGGGAGTGAACATTCGTCAAACGAGACGCGGTCCTGGGCCCTCGCAGAGGCTCGCAAGCACGGAGCACGCGGGAGACCGCCGACACCGCATGGAGATCTCCAGTCTCAGTTTAGAGGGAGACCCAGGCCTATCAGTGTCGAGAGCAGCCCGTTCATGTAAATGAAACGATTTTACATAACCCAATTCCATCACCATCATCATCTGCCATGTGCTATCCACTCCTTGATCAAAGCTTCCCAACATCTCCACCACCCCCGTGGCGCTCCTGCTACGCCACAATCCGCATCGCTCCCGCACAATCCGCCGATCTCGTCGTCCCTCCTTGTCTCCGCGGCGGCGATCGCAGTCTCGGCTGTGTTGACATCAACCGGAGGCTCGCGTCTCGGCAGTGACCCCCTCCCTGCCTGAGGAGGGCCATTGGCCAGGCCCTGCTATGCCTGTAACATACAATCTCTTGTCGTAAGTCAGTGTCAGGGATGGAGCGGGTGAGTGTTTGTTATTTGTGTTTGTGCATCACTGTCAACGCAGTCCATTTTACTTTTTATATGATCTTAAGACGTGGTGCAGGAGTCTCTTCTCTCTCTATCATACACTCGCCCATCTCCTACTCTACCTTCTCTTTGTCTCATGCTCTCCCCGCTCTCTCCCTCTCTCCACATTCCCGTGCCGTGCACTGTACTGCCTCCCTGGTGCACACACACGGCCTTTCACAACACTGTACTGCAGATATTTTCCCACTCAAATGCAACCTCCTCCTTCCCCTCTATCCCCCCACCCTCCCCGACCATCAGCCCAAATATCTCACCTCCCCCTCCCCCAACCACCAGCAGCACCAAATGAGCAGCAGCAGCACGCACCGCTCCCTGGGAGCAGGGACAGCTGTGTGGCGATGACTCCAACGCAGCAGCAGCAGCACGCACCGCTCCCTGGGAGCAGGGACAGCTGTGTGGCGATGACTCCAACACAGCAGCAGCAGCAGCAAGCAGCAGAGAGCGAGGATCGCGATGCCTCGCATATTGAGCGTTGCTTGGGTTAAACGTGGGAGCGGTGACGGTTTACGGAGGAGATGCGGTAATAAGACCAAGACTCCCAAGTTTAAACCCAGGCTGAACATAGGACCAAGTGTATAACCTCGATACTCGGTGGCTAGACCCAAGACTAAACCCAGGATAGTCATGTTTGATCCCATGACCCAGTGTCTCAGGATGCGGTCGATGCCATCATCGCCAGCACACCTCTTCGAATTCCCAAGCCTGGACTCTTGAACTCAAGAGGCAGTGTGTCAGAACACGGGACCCAATGTGTACATTCTGGATAATAGGGACCATGGCCGGGCGGCAGCAGAGTGTTCGCCGCTTGTTGTTGCAGAGGTTCACGGTTCTATTCCAGCAGCCACCCTGGTTAATGCTGCGGTGGGTGTATAAACCACAATAATATAATGCGCCGTTTGCTTTACGGAGGACATAGAAAATATTAGGGACCTCATTCGCAAGAGTAGGCGATAGTCTGTCGGTGTTAGGGTCCAGATGAGCCAAATTCGAAAATTAACCGCAAATTACTCAATTGGGATTTTACACACACAGCAACTATCAATGTCCCCCTCCTACTGGCAGGCAATGCCCCAGGTATCGCACCCCCGCTAATGAGACTCAACCTGGTCTCTTGGGGTTCTCACGTGGCTAAACAAAATCTATTTAAACTAAAAACGGCAAGCTTCAGATCTCGGTGCGACCTCTCTCTCCTTCAGGCACCGCTCACCACCACAGCCCACGGCTGGCGTTGGCACTCGGTGGGGGGAGGTGGTGGAAGCGGTGGGGGGGGGGGCGCGCGTCGGCTCGTTAAGAGTGATTACTGAACACGCAGGCGCCTGTGATTACATCTCGAGCACAACACAAAGGCGAGTGAGCGAGCGAGCGGCTCGGGTCACAGTGGCACCGGCTCGCACAATGCTCCAGGCCGTCGCGGCCGCCGCGGAGACGGAACGCGACGGCGGTGACTCGCGGGAGCTGGGATCTATTCCCGCTTTTTATTCTCCCGCCCGAGTTTCTCATTTCTGTTTCTGTCACGGGAGCCGTCCGCTCCAATCCCCCTCCTCATCCCCAGTCGCCTGCCGCCAACTCCTCTCTTTCTCTCTCTCTCCCCCTCCTTGCTTGCCCTGTCCCAGCGGGCCGAGCCGAGCGGCTGCAGATCCATTACCACGCTGCTGCACACGTCGCCGTGCCAATGGTTACCGTGGAAAAACAATAAATTAGAGCTCAAAAATACCACCCCCTCCCCCCGGCCACCCCTACACCAAACACAGTGATGCAATGCGCTGCTGGTAAAAGTCACGAGATGAGAGAGAGGGGTTTGGCTGGCTTGTGGAGGCGGTCGCTCCATCTCTCACCGTCACCGCGTCGACGCCAAACCCAGATCTGGGCACGCACCGCCCGCTCGTCCCACCCGGCTCGCTCATCGGCGTAGCGGATTAGCCCCACTCCATCCCAACCGGGGCTGGCCACACCAGGGCTGGCCGCACCAGGGCTGGCGAGACGGCTTCCTCATCGCGATGACCCCACGTGGCTCGCGGCGCTCTCGGGGTTCCCGTGGGGGTGGCGGATCAGAACACGGGTGAAGGGGGGGGGGGTGGTGGGTTTCCTTTTTGTTCAAGACCGGGACGCTCCTTTTTCACGTTGCCAGAGATATCACACGAAGCCCAGGTCCCGGCGGGGATTGGGCGCTGGGCGTGGAATCGCGCCAGTGATATCGCAGCCTCGAGATGCGAGCAATTAAATAGGCGCCTTCGTAAATGTGTTTATTTGTTTTCATATTTCCTGGATCACAATCCCCCCCCCCCCCCCACTCGCCTTCCAATGAAAATGGAACCAGCCCAGGGTTTAAGACCCACAGCAGACGGGAACACTGGAACAATCCATCCCTACGTGTGCGAGAGAGGGGGAGAATGAAGGGGGAGCACGGCGAGCGTGTCGGACAGAGGAGTCTCACCTCTGTGCTCCGTGCTGGACACGTGTGTGTGTGTGTGTGTGCCGTAAATAGTAACGAGGGTCCTTGGTTCACCCAGGGACCAGACCAATGGGTCTCAAGGGAACATTCCCAGGAGGGTCCTACTGGACGCGATCAACCACTTTCTCATTAAGAAGTTTACACGTGGGAACTATTGGTCAAAATCCTTACAGGTAGGGCCTAAACCTACTTGCTTTGCTGCTACAGGCTCAGCCCAGTGGGTTTGGTGTCACATCACCATCGTCGCCGCTTGTTATCTCGGCAGCACCACTCATGCTGTGCATCCCGCAGCACCAGAATTTAAGATAATTACTCGGAAAGCGAGTGATTGCCGATGACATGTGACAATGCAGTGTATACAGCACACACGGGGAACGAGAATAAACAGTGGGGCACCAACTACCATAACCCGCATCATAATCCGTAAATCACGAGCGTGCCCGATTTCGAGCGGCGGGCACCGTCGCAAGCCACCGCGCCAGACACAGGAACGAGCGCGGCGTCAATCAACGCCGAGCGGAGGCGACGGTGCCGGGGCGAGCCGACAGCACTGCCCGGGGCGTGCCGGGGGCGAACGTCAGAGAGCATGAGCTCCTCCCCCCCCCCCCCCACCGTTACCGCTGCCTCTACCACCACTCGCTCACCGACGTTGACAGCGACTCCACGATTTTGCCCCGGGCGGTGGCAGCGGCGTGCGAGGGAGATCGACGCGGAGAGGCCGTGGCGTGGATGTAACGGTCAGCCGATCGACCGTCGATCAGATGGCCGGCGGGTTGTGTGACCGATCAGCCGATGGACTTTGTTTACAAAGCCACGCGAGGGAAGAATCGCATAAAGACACGCGTTTAGCAAAGGGAGATCTGAGATGCAAATACGGGAGACTGCAGAGTTGTTGTTACAAACATTTTGGTAAAGAAACAAGAAAAACTCACAATCGGGCGCGGATGAAAGTGAGCAACGGGTGAAGCGGCTTAACCCCGTGGAGTGTGAAACACAAGTCTCCACATGTCCGTACCTGACATAGAGGACGGCCAGGGCAGCGGCGGAGCAATGAGATCAGTCCATCGCGCAGGAGTGAGATGGCTCTGACATCGCAGGATCGCGAGAGGTGGCAGCAGTGTGTGGAGGCATCCCTCCCTACTAGCAGCTGATGATGATGATGATGATTACTGTGATGAAGATGATGCCGATAATGAAAAAGATATACAAAGTACAATGATCAATGACCCAGAGCAGCCTTTGCTCAGACAGGGTCTCCGCGTCGGGGCCTTGTTGAAGCAATGTCCCACGGAGGTCACCCAGATGACCCCTCCAACAGGGTTGCTACCACCGCCCAGAGGTGTAGCTATCGAGTGTGCAGGCGGTGCAACTGCACTCGGGTCCATGAACCGCTGGGCCACGGAGAAGGGCGGAAATCGGAGAGGTGGCCTCATCTCATTCCTTGCACGCGAGCAGGGCCTCTGCCAATCACGCCGCGCCGCTGTCACCACCGCGTGTTCATTTCTCACTCAAACACCCTGCTCCCCATGGCTGCCCACTATTTGCTCGAGGAGGGGGGGGGGGGTCGCAGAAGGGAATTAACATAATTTGTTCGTTCAATTATTAACTCGGCGGCACGGACGAAGTAAAACGAGATCCTGCCAGATTACGGTCGGTTCCATTACGGTGAGACCCGGAATGAAAACGTAACCCGACGCGCGCAACGGCGAATTGATTCCGCCAGGCGTATGAATTATGAATGTGTGACATACACCGCTCCCACGCAAACACCGCATCGGGCTCCGACTCCCATCCGGAGAGCGACGCTCCCCGAGTCGCGCGCGCGGCAGCGTCGCTCCCTCTGATTCTGCGTCCGCGGTGAGCTCAGAGCCGGATTTAAAATCGCAATCGCGGCCAGAAAACAAGCGGATGGGCTGCAGAGCGAGCCGGATTAGGGGGCAGCCGTCACGTGACCCAGCGTGTGTGTGCGCACGCGAGGACAAAGATCCCCCGTATAGCCTTCACAAATAGTTGGAGCAAGTGCTGTTAGCTAGCACATACTAAGGCCGGCATGGCGCACGAGGGGGTGAGTGTGCAGCAGCACGCCCGGCCACCAATGCTGATATTTACACCGCGCTAGCTACTCGTTTAAGGCTGAGTCGATCTAGGAGAAGCCCACGAGCGATTCCAATATTCGTCAGCAATGTTGGCCTTGAGCGGGAATCGAACTCGGCTGGCCGGGTTTGCAGCACATTGCACCAACTACTGCTCCACCGCTCCCCCATACACCCCCCACGCTCGCGTGAACCTATATACGCGCACCCCGCACGCGCACGCAGGCGCTCAGGCTCGCTCTCGCACGCATGCAGAGCACGTGCCAACAGATGTGCACCAAGGCATGCACATGCATCACCTACACAGACAGGCGCACGCATCCAGCTGCCCCAATCCTCAAGCGCGGACGAAGACACAACTCCCCAATTTAGCTTCGCACACTGATATTTAAACACCACTCCAGGTACTCAATTAAGGCAGAATCAACCAAGACAGGGGTCAGAACCTGTTCCGATGTTGCTTGTGACTGATTTTAGCCGTGACCAGATAAGAAATTGAGGTCACTGGGTGTGGAGAAAATGTGTGAATTACCGGAATACACAAAGACAAAGATCCCCCTTATAGTCTTAACAGATTTTGAAGCAAGTGCCGATAGCGAGTAACAAAGGAGGTGGTCAACACCACTCCAACCTCCACCACATACCCACCCCACACACCCAATACCACCACGTACACACCACGCACGCACTAGAACCAGCTACGCACTATACTACACACCCACACCGCACACATCATACCATACACACCGCACACATCATACCACACACAGCACACACACCGCACACATCATACCACACACACAAGTCGCAGCATTACACTCAGTAAAACAACAACGTGGAAAATGCAAGCGAGGGCGCAGCTGCTTGTAACTGTGACCCCCAAATGACGTTCAGCGGCAGCCAATTTCCACTTTTCTGAGCATTAATAACGCGACCCGGGCACAGCCACGCGTTTCACAGCTGCGCAATTTCCTACCCAAAACAACCGCTCAAGATTGTCACTTGCAAACCGAGGCATTTCGCGGAATAAATTTGTACCCAGCGATGTCGGGACCGCCGGAAACAGAAGTGCGACGTGTTGACGGATTCGTGGGGGCGGCGGCGCGCGCCACCGTCCTCGTGACAAACGAGGCCCCGGGACGATCGCTCGCTCGCTCCGTGGCAGCGCCGCCGAGAGGGGGGGGGGGGGGGGGGGGGGGGGGCGGCGAGCGGCGGGCGAACGTGTGCGGCCGACTCGACCTGGGGCGCTGCGCTCGCGGCCGCCACTGAGTCGCGGCCGGAGAGGGCACGGGGTTCGATTCGCGGTCGAGGCATTCGGCCGTGTCGCTAGGTCAGTCGACAATAAAGCCGGAGCGACGCTTTGTGCAAAGCCAGCAGTTGCTGTCCTGTAGATATCCTGGACCCTGTCTTAGGAATGTCGAATGTTCTGTTACTAGCTTGAACCTTCCCATGTAGAGGTAGGCTCTTTGACCGTATTGGCAAAGTACTACGTCACTCTTATCTACACGAAGCAAGCAGAATGCAGCACTGCCACTAACCATAACGATTAGAACCAGTCGGCCTGCAACGACAACCCTTAGTTTCTCATCAAGCAGACTCACCCCCTAACTCTACCCCACACCACGCTCTGGCCCTCGTCCTAAGCCCGTGGCTCACCGTGGAGCGAGGCCTCCCGTTCGCTCTCGATCTGCATTGCGCTCTCCGCTCTTGCTGCGCCATCATTAACACCGAGATATAATTTGCACCGGAAAAAAAAACCCAACAAATCTTACGCACAATCAGCCGGTGAAACGGAGCAATTTTCCGAGGATTTAATTTTTTTTCTGATTCGCGGATCTGCCGCTGTAGCCGGTCGCTGTGGAGCTGGGTGGTGGTGGTGGTGGGAGCGACAGGAAGGGCGGGGGAATTAATATTCCACGATCCGGTGTTCACCAACAAACACCGGCCGCTTCGGTTTTCATGGGAAGTTGCCCACGCCCGTCGCGGCACCGCTGTTGTTCTCGCGTCTCCGCGAAACGGACGCAGCCACCGCCGCCTTAAACCTGCGGGCGTCTCAGTTCGCTCCGGGTACGAGGTACCGAGGGTGGCGGGGTGGTCACTCGTTTTAAGTTTTGCCCGAAACGTTGAACACCACATGCAGGTCAAGGTGTCATCATGGCCGATGTGGATGATGCCGCCACATGAAGCCATCGCTTCCTTCCTTTTGCCAGATTCCTCAGCTATTGCAAAGTCAACACGTGACGTCCATGGCCTGCTCTTACAGTCTCCATCATCATCAGCATCACTGTGTGACTCTAGCTCTTCCCCGTGTTACACAGCTGAGGCGTCCTTACGCCAGGCACAATGTACCCGGCACTGGTCAAAACATCCCAATTCAACAAAATGACACCTTCCACTGTTCCGTAGGTAAACGGAGGTGGAGGTAGGTGCGACGCCTCCAGAATCTCGACACAGGCCATCAAGCAGAAGGGCCATTGCCACGGAAGTTGCTCGTTCTTTACTTTTCCTTCGAAGCCACGGGGCCGTTGACGAACGCGTCGAGTCATTTGGTGGGTCGGTAACCTGGCTGGCAAATCGGTCATGACGTCGTTAAGTAAGATGGCTGGAAGTCACATAGGTAGGTAGGTTAAAAGGTGAGAAGGTTGCTCCTCATATAGGTAAGAAAGTGTGCAGGTAAGATGGTAGTGATATAAGTAGGTATGTAATTAAGCAGGTAGGTAATATGGTTGGTAGCCACATAGATGGGTGGAAGAGTAGGTAAATGAAAGGTAGGCAAGTACCTTAACACATTGAGTACAGTATGCATGTACCCATGAGGCAGGTAAGTTGGGAGTGATGCAGCTAGGCAGGCAGGCAGGCACGTGGCAGCAAGCAGCAGCGTTGGGCGCAGTGCAAGCGGAACACAAACATCAGGGGGCACAATCTCAACCCCCGCTAACCGCCGCAAATTACGGAAGCGACGCGGTCGATAGGCGAACACCTCCGAGCAGCGACAGAGCAACGCCACAAACAGGCGGGGCAGGTCGGCCCCGCGTGCGTGCCAACGGGGACCGACGGGAGAATGGACGGCGGCGAAGCCGGCAAAACAAAAGAAAAGCCCCACGCGGGTTTTTACCTTTGCCCTCCAAGCGCCGGCGCCCTGCCTCCCGCGGTGCGCAGCGAGGGAGAAAACAGCGGGGACGGGGAGTGAAATGGGCGGCGCCGCCGTTAGGTGACGTTCAGACGCGGCCCAACAAAACGAACGCGCGTGGTAGCATCATACTTCATCGTGAAAGCTTCCTCGACCACGACACGCTCGCAACATCCATTTTCCTTTCGCAAAGGTCAACCAACGCTGCTGAGGCCTCGACTTTCTGGCAGTCAGCGAGGACGCATCTGTCAAGATCTATAGGTGCGCATTCACAGACACAGGCGGACACGTGCGTGATACGAGCTTACGTGTAAATCAATCCGTGCACTTTGTGTGTGCAGGAGGTGCAACTGCACCGGGGTCCGTAGGCCACAGGGGCCAGACTACAGGGGTCCCACCGTTGAACTCCCCGCACCAGGACCCGCGCCGCCCTCGCTACGCCGCTGGTCCAGAGGCCGTTGCGCCGTGTAGGAAACGAAAGTGAGAAGGTTCATTACTCGTTTTACATTCGCCCACGAGGACGGTGATTGATCGCACGGGCTTCTCGTGAGAGAATGGGCTTGTGGCAGCCATGCAGGCAGGACCATGCACTCATCTCCCCCGGGCTGTGGATAAACTCGAACAAGCAGTCCCTGAGGCTGTGTTCTTGGCTCACAGAGCCCACCGTCTTGTGTGTTTTCGAGAGCCAGCGAGAGAGCAGGAGAGCATGAGAGAGCGTGAGAGAGATGTAGAGAAAGCACAAGGGCCAGAGGAGAAAAGAATAACAACACGTGATTGGAAAAAGGACGGTCGCATAGTGACGAGACAATCGACAGGCAGACCCAATCACCCAGCGCCAACACCGGAGTGATTCCACGTCGCGACACCCACGCTGGAAAGGCCACGTCCCCCAACTCCCACAATCAAATCCGTGCAGGCTCGTCTGCGGCATTGCATCGCTGTCCCGTAGAGAGGATGGCACCTGGCATAGGAATGTGGAAATTTCACCTCTGGCTCAGGACCATCAAAGGAGATGAGCGCCTGACCAAGTTGGTTTGACGAGTGAGACGATGTGATTTTGATTTGCCGTGTGTGTGCATGTGCCAATGGCAGCGGGGAGCACAGGTGGTGCATCTGCCAATCATCTCAGTCACTTAACCCATAACACCTGCGGTCTGCCCCGAGACCTCCCTGGCAGAGAGCCTGTCCAGACTTCACATGGCAGTCTCAAAGTGCACTTAGCCTGGCACAATCGCTGCGGTGATGTCACCACCATCGGAGCTGCTGCTGTTATCGTGTACCTGTGGGTGTTCTGGCCTTAATAGGTGTTTGCCAACAACACTTTACAGCTAAACAGGGAAAAATACTTCCACGAATGTTCTTCTTTTTTAATATCCACACATTGGGCAGGACGTGTCGCCAGAAGGAACGATGGCCAACGGCCAAAAATAGTGACGGAGTAAGAACATCGAATGGAACGCGTCCGAGAGGGCATCCACCGCGGGGGTGGAGCAATGAAACCAGCTCCTCGTGGGGTTATCGCTCCGCAGGATCTTGAGAGGAGGCGGCCGGCCACTGCTGGCTCATCCACCGGTGGAATGGCCACGGCTGATGAGGACAATGAGATATTTACGGCACATACACAAAGATCCCCCGTATAGCCTTTAACAGACTGTTGGGGCAAGTGCTGTAAACGAGTAGTGCCTACGAAGGTCGGCATGGCACACGGGGGAGCGGGTGGCTAACATCACGCTCGGCCGCCTTTGTCTCCTGATGTTCACACCGTGCCAGGCACTCATTTAAGGCTGAGTCGACCGAGGCAAAGGTTCGAGACCGATGCTGGCCGTGCACTGGAATCGAACTCGGGTCACCAGGTTCGTAGCGCAGTGCGCTAACCACCGCACCACCGATCATGCACGCGCGCGCAGCAGCGTTCCCGCGAGTCGCGCCAGCCTCGGGGAAGGCAGCGCAACCGGGCGAGGCTGCCGGCAGAGCGCTTCCCACTCCCCGCTCCCGGCTCCCAGCTCCCGGCTCCCCGCTCCTCTCTCCCGGTTCGCCCTCCACCACCGCTACCGTCGCTGCCGCCGCCTCCGCCGCCGCAGGAAATGGAAGTTTCTCTTAATTCCTACGCCCAGCGTAAACGAGGCTTATCTCATCCACGCAGCCCTGTCCCAGGGCCCAGGGGACTCGCGGGCGTCTGCGCCCTCCACCCTGCGCCCCCCCCCCCCTGCTCTCCTTCAGCCCACCCACCCACCCCTCTCTCCTCTCTGCTCGCCCCGCCCCTCCCTCGGCGCACCGAGCCGTTGGCTCATGAAATCGCGGCTGCCTTCTCCTGCACAGATTTAGAATTTTCGGCAGACTTTTAAGAAGAAGCACAAAGTGTCTCCCGGCTCAAGCGGGAGGAGTGCGGCGGAGCGCACCTCCAGCGGCGTTACCTGAACCAGTTATGCCACGACACAAACGCTGATTTACAACAAATCGGTACGCTCATCATAGCAGAATCTAGAGGCACGGTGGAGCTATCGACTGTGACCGGGATTTAAAACTCGTGTCTTCAGGATGCGAGTCGAATGCTCGGAGCTCAGTGACACACGACCCCCGAAGGGCCCGAGAAGCCAAGCCGTCGCTCCGCGGGGAGACGAGGATCGACGCTCGGAGGATCACCGCGCTGGGTTCAAATCCAACAGGGCAGGCGGCATTAGGAGCGGTTGTTCAGGAGCCTTAACACGGCCGGCACCACTGCCCCCGACGCTGCCGCGCAGATTATATGACGCGGGACCGTGCCAAATGTACACGGTGCGCTGGGCACTCGCAGTGCCGACACCGAGCACTTTGACAAACAGGAGGTGCACGGGGAGACCGCGCAGAATTAATTGTTTGGTGATAGTGCTGCGTCAGCGATCGTGCACAATCAACAATAAACTCAACACATCCGTCAGATAAAACTGTGGGCTTAAAATGAAAACTATATAATAGGCGACATTTCGGGTAATGACCCATTCATCGCTATGCGCTCTGAAGAAGGGTCAATACCTGAAACATCGCCCATTATTTACTTTTCCTATTAAGGCCGCGGTGTTATTGACGTACGCGTTGTGTTTTTGTTGTCGTGATACCCGTCCGGAGCACATGGGCTCACGGGGCTAAGGCAGAGAGCGAAGCGAACTCCAGGATGAAGACTCCAACAGTAAAGGTACAGAGTGAGGACAATTTAAGATGAAGACTCATAAGATGAACACACGGACAGAAGAACTGCAAGATGAAGACTCAGAAGATGAAGGTGCTAAACGAAGAGAAAAACTCGTGGACTGAAGGTGCACAATGGAGGCCTGCGACTCCTCAGCCTTTTAAGATGTTGGATAAGCAAATGGAGCGAGGAGCTACACAGCACGCATCTTCGTTGCCACGTGATGAGAGTCGTGAGGAGATCTTCACGCGAACGCCGGTGCCACGGAGGCGACTCCGCATGAGAGGCTGGGGATCAGACTCGCGCGGCGGCGGGTCTTGTCAAGCCAAGGCAGGCGTCGTCTTTCGGCCTGGTTCATCGCGAACTCCCAGTGGCGGCAGTTCTCCGGATATCTCGTCCCATCCCTGCCGCCCGTTCCCCGTTCCCCTCGCTCCTGAGCTTCGGTCGGTTGATCAACGTTGGCTGTGTCCATCTATTTGACGATCCATTCATTGACGTTGGATTTGTCTTTCTCTGCAGCCCATCAAAGGAATTTAATGATCAGAATTCGGCATTGTACAGTTGGTGGCAATTGAGGACATGACTGTTTTAAGTTTTCTAATTAGCCAGATAAAAAAAAAACTCTCCAAGTGTTTAATGGTACACGTTACACTCTAATGAGGAACTACAAAGCGGCGCCGTCAAATGAATGCTCAATGTCTGTCATCTGCAACATGAAACCTGCACACGGTTCTGCCTTCATTAATTTTGTATGCTCCTTCCCTCTCCTTGCTTAAGTTACCATCGCTCGAACGAAGAAACTCTCACTCCTACAAAGCATATCCGAGCAATTTAGATGCGAAAGTTGCATCTGGTTCCAGCCCCGTCACAATTCCTCCTCCGCGTCAAAACGGATCACGGGAGAGGAGCGGCGAGCAGTGAGGGCGCCGCGACGGCCAACGTCACGTCGAGCGATCGATAGCGTGGAGAGCGCGCACACGAGTTAGGCCGTGCCGTAACGTAGCCATCAGCTGCACCGGTGAGCGAGCGGAAGAGGAAAGCGGAAGAGGACAGGCGGCCGGGTGAAACGAGAGAAAAAGAGAGCAGGGCCCGGCGGGGCGCGATGGGCGGCGGCGCCGCAGATGATTTAGTTCTCTGCGTTTGGCACGCGGAGGCGGCGCCGTATTAAGACGACGGATCGGCGCCAAGCGGGAGCAACGGAGAGCGGTGCCGGCGTTGCAACGCGACGACCGCGGCGGTGAAGCCGGGAGAGCGAGGGAGAGTGGCGGCGCTCGGGAGAACGGAATGGGTGTCAAAGGTCACATCCCGCGGAGGCCGCGATGCCATCCCCCCCCCCTCCCCCCTGGGCCGCGCGTTGAGCGACAGGGGGCGGCCGCTGCCTCTCACAATGGGCGTCTCGCTCCGCCGATGCTCGGGCACAAAAAGCAATTTTCTCTCCCGGCACTTATCTGCGCCGGGCGGAATTATTGGCGACGCGCACGGCCATGACACACGACAGTTGACGGAGCTTGGGGTTCAAAACATGTTTTTTTCTCTTTCCCCCTCTCTCTATTTCCCCCCAAAAATGGGGCTCCCCGTGCCACGTTCCCACTACCGTCCATAACTCAACACCCGGCCCCCAATAACCAAGCACCTCCGGCAACCAAATAATGTTTTTTTTCTTTCAAAAATCGTTTCCCTTGGAGACGAACGGGAATTTTAAAGGTTGCGATAACCGGACGACAGCCTTCCTCCTGCCAAGAAGAATCAGTTGAGGGCCTCAGCACGGGCTTTGAGGTCAAGACTTTTACTTTTTCTCATTGGAAGAAACGATAAATACAGACACATACACTCAACAAAGGCACAAGCGTACGCACAAACATGACACACGTGACACAAGCGCGTACACGCACATGTGCACATACACACGGATACACACAAGCAAGCACACACACGCATGTGTGCGCTCGAGCAAAAGCGCACGAACAGACGCAAGCAACGCACATGCACAGACGCAAGCAACGCACAGACGCAAGGACGCGCGTATGCCCGCTCGTGTTTGGTAAATGCCACTGACCACAGGACATCGATGACATTTCAATATTAGTTTGCTGCACTTGACCTTTCCCTTATCGCTTAGAAGAAATAGGGAGGCTGAGACAGCATATTCAAATTACGAGCCCTTTAAGAATCGCCGCAACATTTATCGGAGAGGATTTTTTTCCTCTCCATCCCCCGTTTCACTCTCACCGCTGCTTTTTTTAGTTTGCTATGCCCCTTCGGCTGCAGCGACCCCCGGCCCAGGACCGGTTCCCTGTCGGTCCGCATCACGCACAGCAAACGTGGAGGCGAAGATAGGGAAATGTTACGGGTCACCCCGAGCGAGAGATTCCATCAATAACTCCCCCCCCCCACGCTGCTCCAGCCACGTCCCGAGCAGCCGTGTCGGCAGCGGCGGCAGCGGCGGCCGCGGCGGCAGCGGCGGCGTCTTTGCGTTGGCGCTCGAATCGAGAACAACGGGACGAACCGTGCGTTCGCTGTCCGGGAGAACGCACGTCGGCATGAAGCCACCGCGCTCGCGTTTCCCCTGTCCCCTGGCAGTGCCGGTCCCCTCTGTGCCGACAGGGGATGGTGATGGGGGGGGGTCAGGCAGGGATCCGATCCCCTTGGTAGCACGAGCGAGACCCGGTGCCCCTGGTTTGGAAGCGAGAGGTGATGGGAGGGCAGAGTTAATTTCGCTGATGGAATTAGCAACGAAAATGTTTGTCGAGTCAGAGCGGGCGATTTGATTTAATTGTAGGGCTCGATGGCTGCAGAGTGGACGGAATTCATCACGGCTAACGATGACGAGGACGACTGCTGCTCACCAACGACCCAAGTGCGACGATGTGACGAGATTAATGAGCATAAGGTGAGACGAGATGAACGACGATCAGACGAAATGGACGACGATGAGACGAGATGAACGAGTTGGAGTGAACACGCGAAATGATATCATTTAGTCGCGCTGCCAGAGACTGCAGCGACACAGAGGAAGACCAAAACCGGCAATTGGCTGTCCACAAAACACAAATAGATTTATTGAGTTAGCCGAGTGGCCGACTTAATAATACTGGGTGAGGTGGGCGAGAGGATCAACCGCGGGCGTCTCGTGCGGACTCGACTGAGCGTCCACAGGGGGTCGTCAGCCAGGCAGGGACTACGAGCGAAGTAGAAACGAATCCGGACTGCGCTCACACGGGAGGCGAGACGGTGGCTACAGCGAGGCTTCTGCAGTGATCGACACGGCGGTCAATCAGCCCGGCGATGTTCAGGATCTGTGAACTCGACGCAGTCTCGGCAGGCTGCGCGGCAAACGACTCTCGGCGCCCCGGACCGTGAGAGGGCGTTGCGCGTGGGTGCAGGGCGCCACCCACGCTCTGTGTGTCTCCGCACGGACGACTCGGAGGAGTGGCCGCAGCGATGTACCACGACGCAGGGCAGTTGTTGCCCGCAACTTTAACAAGCTACACGCTTACCCTATTAAGGCCACAGTGTTGCTTACAATTTCAGATTGGAGGCCGCATTCCAAAGTAAGAAGCCGAGGGCCCCCCCCCACCCCCCCCACCCCCCCCCCCACCCCCCAAGCCAGCACCGGATGCCGCTCGGGCAACGCTGCAATGGTAAACGAGGAGAAAATGAGCGGAAAAGCGGTTCACACGAACGTCGCTTCCCTTGCTGGTGTGAGCGTGCGAGTGTGAGCACACGAGGAGTGTGAGGGAGCGTGCGAGTGTGAGCACGTGAGTGTGAGGGAGCATGCGAGTGTGAGCACACGAGTGTGAGGGAGCGTGCGAGTGTGAGGGAGCGTGCGAGTGTGAGGGAGCGTGCGAGTGTGAGGGGAGCACACGAGTGTGAGCACACGAGTGTGAGCACACGAGTGTGAGCACACGAGTGTGAGCACACGAGTGTGAGCACACGAGTGTGAGGGAGCGTGCGAGTGTGAGGGAGCGCGCGAGTGTGAGGGTGCGTGCGAGTGTGAGTACGCGAGTGTGAGGGAGCGTGCCTGACTGCAGGCACATGTGCAGGTGTGAACAGGTGTCTGTGCAACAGTGTACGTGTGAACAGTGGGGAGCGGTAGTGTAGCAGTTAGCACTACACTGCGCTACGAATCTGGTACCCGGGTTCGATTCCCGTTCATGGCCAACACCAGTGATGATTATCTGAACCGGTCCTGGAACTCCCCTAGGTCGACTCAACCTCAAATCAGTATCTGGTGCGATGTGTAAACATCGCCACTAAGGAGGCAAAGACGGCCGGGCGTGGTGCTGGACACCCACCCCTTCATGTGCGATGCCGGCCTTCATAGGTGCTCACAAACGGCGTTTCCCCCAACAGCCTGTCAAGGCGATACAGGGGAGCTTTGTGTAGGAAATAGGTGCTCGCTCGAGCCGTCTATACGGGGGAGCTTTGTCTTAGCGGGCACGTAATGCACACGTGTGTGCAAGCTAAGAGTGTGCGGATATGCAAGTGCGTGCGTGTACACGTGCGAGCGCATGTACGAGTGTGCGAGCATGCGCTGGCGTGCGCCGCTCCACCACCTGCAAACGCCTTGGAGATCCTCTCCTTGTTCCACTCCCAGGGCTGGTCGTACTCGTCCGCCGGTCTCTCGTCGTCCTGGGGCAGCGCTCGCTCCCCCGGCGGGTCTCCGGGCAGGCTCGCCTGCGGCTGCGGCGGTTGGGCCGGCTGACCCTGCGCCGGCGCGGAGGCGGCCCGCGCCGGCGACTGAGCCGGAGCCGAAAGCGGCGGCGGCGGCGGCGCCGACGGCGGGGTCTGGACGGACGTCGGCGTGAGCGGCTCCCGGGGCCCCCCTCCTTCGGGGCTGGCGCCCCCGCTGCCGCCTCCGTTGTTGGCGCCGCCCCCCCCGCCGGCGCCTCCGGCGACCCCGCCGGCGCCTCCGGCGACCCCGCCGGCGCCTCCGGCGACCCCGCCGGCGCCTCCGGCGACCCCGCCGGAGCTCGGTGCGGGCGCCCCGCCGACGGCGCCGCCGGCCCCCGGGCTGGCTGGGGCGCCGTCCCGCGGCTCGTAGGGCGTGTCGTACAGGGGCAGCCGGCGCGGCGGCGTGTCCTTGAGGCTGTGCTTCTTGGCACCTGCAGTGGCGAGAAACGGTGCCGTGGCCGGGTGAGTGGGGAGTCCGGGAGGGGGGGGGTCATGTGCGCAGATGGCGGAAAGGACCATTTTAGTGACAATGTTTTTACAGAAGATAAGCGGTGCTGGTGGCTGGCGATGTCCCGTGTAGAATGTTGCCACGTCCCTGGCAGCTGAATTGTTCTGCGAGCGACCAGGGCTCACACACCCAGAGGTGCGTGGTAGCTGGGACTGGAAAACTCTGGGAGGGGCTGTGATTTACACCCTACAGGGTCGCGGTTCGAAGTTACGGTTAGTGTTGGTCTCTCTCCCACCACTCTCCAGCCACTTTCCCAATCACTCTCCAAGCACTCTCACTCTCTCACTCACCCAGTCCAGCCCCACTCGAAGCATCATGCCCACCACACTACCCATCGCTCTCCAAGCACGTTTTCCACTGCGTTTACCAACCGCTTTAAAAAAAAAACATCTGCACCAAGCTCTCCACCACCTTATTGCCCCACTCACCACGTCACACCGAACTCTGCTTGACCACTCTCCCCATCGCTCTCCCCATCACTCTCCCCATCACTCTCCAAAATTATGTGCGGCGCTCAGTGTCTGGAGAGGCCGATGGGAATTAAAACAACACAACCCAGCGAGGCGAGCGTGACCATTCCAGTAAATACAAATCAAAGCACTCTTTAGGTGGATGAAAGGATTCCCGATGATGTTGAACCGTGAGGTTCATGTTAGCGAGCTCAAGCATCCATCACCCCAGCTCCCCTGCCGAACCAGCTCCACCACTGCCCAAAATCTCCCGTCATCTCAGCTCCCTCCCCTCCACACCCCCAATCAGCCCCCCCCCCCACCGTTCCAGCACCTCCCCCCCAGCTTCCCAACCCACTCAGCCCCCCCCCCCCGCCGCCAGCCCCGCTCCCCGTTTAACACCCCGAGTGGAATGGCGTTCTCCACTCGGCAGCCTCCCATTTTGTTTAGCGAATGTTTATAAAATGATGCTGGATCGTCATAATTGCCCTGTTTATACCAGGCTTGGCAAATTACGCAGTCAATATAATTTTTGATTTTAAATTCATTACTCTTCATTAATTATGGTAATTGCGTGCGTGCGCGCGCACGTGTGTAAGCTCCCGTGGATCCATGTGCGCGTGCGCCGAAACGAAATTAATTCTTGCATTAAAAAAAACGAAGCGCTAATGCGCGATTCTGATGGACTGCTTGCGAGCGGGTCGTACGGGACGAGGATACACGCTAGAATCTTGATTTGAAGCTTTCGTGACTGCAGGAATCCATACTCTTTGGGTCTTTCGGTAAAGCCACGTGTTTTTTTATATTTAGGGGCCCTTTATAACATCATGCTACAGGCCCCGCACTGGCTTCATCCGGCACTGCTGGATTATTTTTCCCGCCCGAGGACGACCGCTTGTGTTGCGATCGAAACGTCGTAATATATCTTTTTTTATTTTTATACCTACGTGACTTTACCGAAAGAACCAAACAGGATACACGCGAGGCTTACAGCGAATACGTGGTCGATTCAAAGCTATTCAACGATGTTCACGATACGCGCATTGCATCTTGGGCGTGAGAATTGATTCTCTTTGACTCGTGGAAATTACACGCAAATGGATATGCGCATGTGAAATTGATGCCGATTGAGCAAACAGAACAACAGGAGGCGGAACACGCGGGGAGAGACGACACCGCAATCGATGGCGAGCGCCACCGCGCCGCTCACACACTCCACGGTGGACCTCCTCCGCGGCGCGTTCCCTCCTCTGGCCGCCACTGCGTCCTTCGCCTCAACCAGGGCCGACGTTCAAAGCGAGCGCCGCCCCAGGCCCAAGTGGGCGGCAGACAGAGAGGCGCCGCGGTATTTCCCGCAGAAAAATGTCGCGCGAAAACTCGACACCACCCCCCCTAACCCCCCCCGCCCACGCGTGGTTGTAAGCCCCCCCCCCCCCCACATTCTGCCCGGTCGCTCCCCCCCTCCTGCCCCCCTTCCCCCCGCCCCCCACCAACCCCCGTGTCCGCCGCCACTCATGGCGACCATAAATCATAATCCGCCGCACCGTCTCCCGCCCGCTGCGCCGCATGAAAGTCACCGACGGAGGGACGAGGGGAACTGAATTTCCTCCATGCGGCTCTCGATGCAATCCCACGGCTTCACGGGCTGCCCGCAGATAGCCATTAATCACTCAATTTGAGGAGAGACATCGCCGAATTGGATGGTGGGGGGGGGGCGTGGCGCTGACGGCGCTGGCGTTGCAGGCCTCAAGAACCCGGGCCCTTGGGGGCTGGGGTTGGTGGATCATACGGGGATTTGCGTCAGTCAGCCCCGTGCTTGGTCGGTTTACCAATCCGGCCGTGTGGTAGAGAGTGAGCGGCCTGCAGCGATCGCAAGGTTGGGAGTTCAAATCCTGGTTGGGGGAGGGGGGGTTGGTTGACGCAGCCCATCACTCCTCTAGGGTTTATAAAATAAGTACCATTGTGTGTGGAAGTCAACGGTGGTTGTCCTACAGATAGACTCGTCCCTGCCGTAGGAATGCGGAATTCCCACCACTGGCTCAGGGCTGTAAACGGGAGATGAGCACCGCCTCAATGCTTACTTGAGCTGCGGATGGCGTTGACGAGTTAGCCGTTCGGAGTTTGGTTGTGTTCACAGGTTGGGGAATTTCCTGGGGGGGTTATTTTGCCGCACTCACTAAACCCAACCAGGTCTGCCGTGACAGGGAGATGCCTCATCTGAAATGAGCTCTCTCACCTGCTCATCATACGCGCGTCATCTTTCAAGTTGGTTGCCAACATTTCGTACACAGGAAAAACATTTGTATCGATCAAAGATCAACGAATTTATTGTCTTGTAACTTTCTGACGGGCCTGCTGGCTCCAGCGAGACCACGTCTGTCAATATCCTCTCATCTCGGCAGGATTAGAGGCTTCAAGAGACAGACGCGGGCACCCGCGCTGGCGTGGCTGGATTTCACACTCACTGAAAACACAACATCAGTGGCTATTGAAACGTGTGTCACTTATTCATAAAGGCAAAGATAGCCCATATAAGCTTCAGGATGTTGGTGCAAGTGCTGTTAGCGAGAACTTACTCAGGCCGGAACAACTTACGAGCGGTGGTGGTGTGGGCGGCACGACACCTTTGTCTCTGCAGTGCTAATGTTTTGCAAACCACGTTAGGAATTTATTTACGGTTAAGTCAATTTAGATCCAGGATTAGTTCTGATGTCACTCGCCACTGTTAGCCATGGTCGCCAATTGAACTCAGGTTGTCGGGTTTGTAGCGCAATGCACAAATGATTGTGCTGATGCTCACCGCCACACAGACATAAAGTGAATGCACACACAGAGACAAAAGCAAAAAGACAACGATACATAGATACACACACACAACACACAGATACGTAGACACAGATACACACACACACAACACACAGACAGACACACACGAATAGAGGCAGGCGTGAATGACTGAATCTTATCTGGGTATAAATAAAAAAGATCCCTGTCTGTCTCTGAGCACTGGGCAAAACACCACACACACCGATCTGTACAATAACCACGTCCCCTACCCCACACACACAGTTAACACAGCCGTTTACAGATAATTGCTTATTTGCATTCCTAATAACCGTCGTAATTGGATGCACCACCATCTAATCTTCGCTTTCTGTTCTATCCCTCGATTGGCTCCACGTTGGTGCAAATTCGACGCGCGAGATACGAGAGAAAATAACAATTTATTGAGACCAATAAAAACACACACAAAGACAAAGATCCCCCGTAGAGCCTGTAACAGACCATTGGGGCAAGTGCTGTTAACGAGCACCTATGAAGGCCGGCACAGCTCACGAGGGGGTGGGTGGCCAAGGCCACGCCCGGCCGCCTTTGTGTCCCCAGTGGCGATGTTTACACATCGCACCAGGTACTCATTTGAGGCTGAGTCGACCTAGGGGGAGGCCCAAAATCGGTAAAAAAAATCGTCACCGGCGTTGGCCGTGAGCAGGAATCGAACTCCGTTCATTGAGTTTATAGCGCAGCGTGCTAACCGCTCCACTACACACACGGGCTGATATACACACACACAGGCTGATAAACACACACGGGCTGATACACACACACACGGGCTGGTACACACACACACGGGCTGGTACACACACAGGCTGATACACACACACACAGGCTGGTACACACACAGGCTGGTACACACACACAGGCTGGTACACACAAATACGCACATACAAGCCACCTCGCAAACACACAATCATAAACAACGACAAAGACACACACACAATCCCAGATGATGCCATACGCACAAACACGCAACCTCATACACACACACGCAGTGCTGTACACACACCAGTACTCACGTGCAGCCCCAAATATAGATACACACATACGTATGTGTATACACACATAAACCAATAAACACGACATCCCCCACACACACACACACGATCTGCTGTTGTGTAAGCGCTAAACTGAAGGACCTCAATCCATCTTCGCTGGAAGGTTCAGCGGGGTTCAGTCGAGGCCTCCGTCTCGAGCTTTAAATGACAAACAAGGGGGGAGCCAGGAATCCAATCTCCGTTCACCTGCCGCTCCTTCGGCCAGGTTAACCCTCCAAGGGACGTCGTCGTCACCAGCCACAAAAACCATGGGCCATGAGGAAGTGGCCCCCACATAACGAGCAGGACCCTCCTGATATAATTAAGATACATTTATCGCGCTTGCAATCAGCGCGAGTGTGAGCCAGATGAGCGACACGGCGAGAGGGAGAGAGAGAGAGAGCGAGCGAGCGATTATAATCCCTCCCAGACAAAGGGGGACAGCCGCGGAGAAGGATCAAGCGAGCGACCGTCGAGCGGCGGTCGACCCAAAGTCAAGTTGAGAGAGAACCGCACGAGCGGAGGTGACGACGGGGATATGAATTAGGATTGAGGGGGGTGGAGGCGGGGGGGAGAGGCGGGGGGGGGCTTGGAGTTCAGAG